TATTTTCTTTTCATTAGGAAAACAGAGATTTAGAAAGTTTAGAAACTTGACCCAACTGAAAAGAAGTAAGAAATGGTGGACCTTGAAAATGACTTCAGGTTTTCTCACTGCACAGAATATAGTCAAACACTGCTGCAGTGAAATATTTTACCCTTTGTCCTCCCTGCATGATCTACAATAATAATCTGCTTTGTGTTGATATTTACTGCTGTGTTGCTGACAGTTACCTGAAAGAGAAGTTGGGGTGCTTCACTGGGCTGGAAAAAGTTTAGCTAAATCAGAAAGCAGATCTAATTAAGCAAGTTTATTCTATCTATATATTAAAACCCTAATATGCAAATAGACCGAACGGCGGAACAACTGAACAACCGGTCACTATGATGTGCGCTTTTACCATAATCTTGAGAAATAAAGTGTTTGAAAAGTAAAGCATCCAACAAGTTAACACCACATCCAATAAAGAAAGGAAAATGCATGGCAAGCAATATGAAATAGCAGCTCAAAACACACTAACTCTGCTACTAAAAACATTCACTGGTCAAACTGCCTATCAAAATGTAATTAGTTGGGGGTTAATGGGGGGGATGAGGACACATTTGTAATACCTTAACTAATAAAAAAAAATGTAATTAGAAAAATTTTTAGTTTCCCAAATCCAAAATATTTAGAGTTATAACACTCACTGAAGATGATCAAACCTTCATCTATTACAAGTTCTCACCTACTAACAATCATTTATCCCACCAATCTTTGGTGAGCATCTGCTACTGCTACATGCAAGACACTTTGCTAGGAGATGCAGGTTATATAAGATTAATATAAGCACATATAATCTGTAATTTCATATAAAGATAGGACAAGTATATACAAGGTCGACTGAGTGTTAAGAAAAACAAAATGTCATGTAAGTACATAAATATGCAAGGTGGCTTTTTTTTAAACCGTGGAGCAGCTCAGTGGTTGAGCGTCAACCTATGAACCAGGAGGTCATGATTCGATTCCCAGTCAGGGCACATGCCCGGGTTGTGGGCTCAATCCCCAGTAGGAGGCATGCAGGAGGAAGGTGACCAATGATTCACTCTCATTGTTGGTGTTTCTCTCTCTCTCTGAAATCAATAAAAAAAATGTATTACAATCTATAATAATAAAAGCATAATATGCTAATTAACCGGACAGCCAGATGACCTTCCAGACGTCCTTCTGCACGACCTTCCAAACAAAGCCGCGGTTGCGAGGGCCGAGCCCCTTGCGCAGAGTTCGTGCATCGGGCCTCTAGTAAATAAATAAAACATAAAAGGAAACCCAACCACAAATCTTAATTTAACTCAGCATATACACAGCTATCAATCCTAAATGTTATTTGCTAGGCCTTCAAAGAGAAGTTAATGTTAGCTGAACTGCCCTGCCAAAATGCCCTGGGATAGTGTAAATCAGTCTCTACGGGTCTTTCATTCTGGGAATAAGAAGTGACTTTTTTCATATGCTGTTAGGATCGTCTAAGTGGGGTTACACTTGGCTTAATACTGATACTTCTCTAATAAGTATAGGGCCAGGGCTACCCTCGTCTCTTTTGGAAAAATCAAATGACACACCTTCGTTTTTATAGATCCTATTTCCTCAAATACAAGTACTCTTAAAACGGGATTCCTAGGTAATGCAGGTTAACAAGCATTTAAAGAGCCCAGCGGGTGTGGCCCAGTAGTTGAACGTGGACCCATGAACCACGGACGCATGAACCAGAGGTCACCCTTGGATTCCAGGTCAGGCCACATGCCCTGGTTGCTGGCTTCATCCCCAATAGGATCAATGATTCTCTTTCATCATTTATGTTTCTCTCTCACTCGCTCCCCGAAATCAATAAAAATATATATATTTAAAAAAACATAAAGAAAAAATCTTGTATTGCTACAAGTTATGCTTTTTCCATAATTCAGGAACATGCAACTACCATATTTAACATAAAGCAGTAATTGTGTGGGTTTTTTTTTTTTAAATGCATCTCCGCACCAGCCTGGAGAGACTGTGAGTAAACTGGAGGGAGTCACCAGGGAGAAACTTATTACAGACCCAGGAAGGGCTTTTATCCCTTGAAATTGGATAAAAAGAGGTCATTTCTAGGAAGGCCCCCAATACTTGGCCGTGTGCTTGGAAGTCGGTGCAGAAGCCCGTCTTCAGCAAGTGCGGCTGCAGGATCACCGCACCTCCGACCCTGCAGCGGGGACACCGCGCTTCTCCGGCGAAGCAAAGGGACCAACAGCCGCCTGAGCCCGCGACGTCTTACTTTTATTTTGGATTTTGCCACACTGACTTCGAAGCGGGTGCATCACCACGTTGGTTTGGTTTGGTTCCTGCTTTGCCCTTTCATCGGCCATTCACTGCAACGAGCCCGGCGGCGCTCAGGGATGAAGACCAACCCGGGACCCACAGGCTCCCCGACCCACTGAGGCGTCCTCAGCGCAACTTTAAACCGCGGGCGAGGGGGAGGGGCGGGGGGGACCTGCCTAAACCCCCAGTCCCCTTAAGGCCGTGGGGGGCGTCGCCGCAGCCCGGACCGCCGCCCACCTGCCCCGGCGGCCGCCGCGGTGCCGCGAGCGGAACCTGCCGCTGGGTCGCGTCTGAACGTGGCGGGACCGCGGGCTGCCGGTGCGGCCTGCCCCGCCGGCCCCTCATGTCGGAGCCGAGGCGGGGAGAAGGGGAAGCGGAGGGCGGCGAGGTGGCGGTGGGGGCGCTGGGGCGGGTGAAAAGGCCCCCGGGGCCGGGCGGGAGGGCGGGTCGGTGGAGGGAGAACGCCCGCCGAACTACGGGACCCGCAGCCGCCATCTTGTTCCTTCCTCTCGTAGAGTGACAGCGGCTGCAGGCCCGGAGCGCGGTCACTTGAGCGGCGCCGCGGAGCCTGGGACGGAGCGAGGCCCCCGGCGGCCGCTAGGGGGCGCCCCCGCGCTTCCCGGCTGGACCCCAGACGCAGGCGGCGGGATCTGGAGGGGCGCTGCCTTTCGCTAAGTGCCCCCGACGGAGCCGAACTCGGCAGGGCCCTCTCCGGCGTCTGAACCCCAAGATAACGACCTCGCGTGCTGGAGCCGAGGACGCCTTTCTGCACTAGAGCAGACGGGTGCTCCTTCCCGACAGCCCGCCCCACTGACCTTGCTCTAAGGAGACTTCAGCCCACGGAGGACCTGAGCACCTGCCCTGTGCAGCTCCCAGGCAGATGCGTTACACACACCCTGTGACCTCCCGAAACTCCACGAGGCACTTCTCCGCCTTTACCCACAAGAGGTCAAATAGCTGTCCTTTAACAACGGATGGAATTCCACAGCATGTGTGAACTCCACCCGTGCTTTCTGGAGACTGGCCCTCAGGGATGGGGCCTGAGGCAGAACCAGGCAGGTGGTTACTACTCCCGGTGGAGCGTGTGGCCTCCCCCATTTCTAGTCCATTTTCTTGCCCGTTTCCCGCAGGGTGAGAGGAGGTGCCTTTCCACACCGCTGCAGCCAGGTTCCAGAGGCATCCGAGCTAACATCTCACCTAAAAGTGGTCGGGGGAATCCAGCTGTTGGTCATCAAGGAAGTGTGTTAACGGTATTTCTGCCTAGTGTTCTGAAAATTCAAGGAAAGTAAATATCTAACATTTACTGAGTATCAGAAGCTGTTCTAAGAACTTTCTATGTACTATGAAATTTAATAGTTATAACATCCTTATAAGGTAAGTACTATTATCCCCATTTTACAGGTGAGAAAACTAAGGCACAGAGAGGTTAAGTGACGTTCACATGAAGCAGCAGAGCCAGGATGTAAGCCTAGGCTCTTAACCCCTACACTGTATTGATGAACCGAATTCTGGGTGAATAACTGTAACTCACTTAGCTCTTATGTTGGAAAGATGGCGAGGTTCCGCTCCAGGTCTGGATTCATGTACAAATATAAAAATCAAGGAAGTCTTACACAGGTGTTCCATGGGAAGTTTCTGTCCACCCTGTAATAACCGTAGGACAACTGCTTTATGGATAATACCACAAGAGTTACAACGTGTGTCCTCCTCAAGTTCTAAAAGTGATTAGAAATTGCCCAGCTGGTGTGGCTCAGTGGTTGAGCACTGACCTATGAACCAGGAAGTCACGGTTCGATTCCTGGTCAGGGCACTGCCCGGGTTGTGGGCTTGATCCCCAGTAGAGGGCATGCAGGAGGCAGCCCATCCATCATTCTCTCTCATCATTGATGTTTCTCTCTCTCTCTCTTCCTTCCTCTCTGAAATAAACATATATTTAAAAAAACAATAAAATATCAAAAGAACCCTAGCTGGGTGGCTCAGCTGGTTGGAACGTCATCCCATACACCAAAAGGTTGCGGGTTTGATTCCCAGTCAGGGCCCATACCTAGGTTTCAGGTTTGATACCACTTAGAGGCGAGTACAGGAGGCAACTGATAAATATTTCTCTCTCACGTCAATGTTTCTCTCTCCCCCTCTCTCTCGAAAAAGTCAATAAAAACATATCCTTAGGTTAGGGTTAAAAAGAGATTACAAATATAAAAAGTTTAGAATTTGGCATTCTTGATTTAGAATTCTGAATCAGAGCCAGACTTTTTACTGATTCTCATCAAATAAGATCTCTTTATTCTCTGCGTGGCTTCCTTTCACAATGGCAGCTTTACTAAGGCACAAGCCTAGGGTGTCTCTGGTGCACACACACCATGTGCAGTGAGAAGACAGTCGGCATTCCATCAGGACAGAAGCTGGTACCCCAGACTCGGGGAATTTCTACTGGAATTTCTAGAAGTGCGTACCTTTGGTCTTTCCCTGCATATGAACACTAACATGTTTTCACAGACTTGGAAATCTTCACAGAAACAAAAGGCTTAAAAAAAAACCCCTAGATTTTATTCAAGATAAGCAGAGGATTAGAGTGACTTACCAATGAAACCATCCAAATATTTCTTGATAAAATATTTCACAATATTTTATCAAGAATCCCACCAGTGAAAGCCCAAAGAACCAGGACTAAGCTGTACATGACACATTTTTACTTTTATGAAAATGACAAGAAAACAAGCCTCTTCCTTCAGGAGGCATGGAGGGGGTTTCTGGGGTGGGCACGTGGGGAGTTCAGTGCAGCTTTCTATAAATGCAACTTGATAAAAACAGGAGATTATAGACACGCCATTTTTCAATGGTTTATTACAAAAGACAATTCCCACAGACAAAATTTCTAAATCCTTTTGCTGTCTTTTGTTGTTAAACTTCTGAGATGTAACACCCTTCACAACCCCACAATCTGCCCAGCCCACACTACAACCCAACTCCTTGGCTCCTGGATGCATGGGACAGAGGTTCCAACATCCTGGACCATGGCCAATGCACCCTCTAAAGTGGCTGAGCCCTGTTAGAAAACATTAAATTTTTTTTAAAATTTGATTTTATAGAGAAAGGAAATGAGGGAGAGGGAGAGAAGGAGGGAGGGAGGGAGGGATGGAGACAGAGAAACATCGATTTGTTATTCCAATTTATGCATTCATTGGTTGCTTCTTGTATGTGCCCTAATCAAGGATTGAACCTGCAACGCTGGTTTAAGGGGACGATGCTCTAACCAACTGAGCTACTTGGCCAGGGCTAGAAAAATTTAACCAGCTGCTAAGTCATTCTAAATAAACAGTGGATGGATTACTTTCACCCCTAAGATTCAATCCTGAATATCTGATGCTCCAGCTCGGGTCTTCCTGTTACCACTTGACCCCTGAAAAGTATGGTAGAATATTCACCGATTCGTTCATCCTAGGAGTGCTACTTATGATCCAGATGAGTCAAAATAAACAGTCAGGATATTGTCTAAAAAGGCCACGATGGCCCTTTTGGCTGTGTCACCAGCCAGTGCCTGGACACTGCTGATGTGCTCCAGGGCCGTTCTGACCATCTGGTCTCTTTCCTGTGGGCTGTGGGGTGCTCCAGTGTCATCTCCCTCTGCTCCTGATTTTAAAAACTGTAGGAAATAGGACTGGACCATGTCCCCATTCAATTCAAGGGTTTCTTTGATGCAAGGAAGGTCTGAGGCACTGGCCAAGCTCAAGAGGTGAAGCAGCGCCTGACAGATTTGGGTCCGTAAGCTGGCGCAGTACTTGAATTCCAAGAAGTCTGTGGTGTCTTCACTCTTCTGTAAGGCAGTGACCAATGCGTTCCAGATCTGAGCATACTGGTCCACAGACCCATAGTGTTCTCTCTTGCCTGGGACGGAAAGGGCGGTGGCAGACCTGATGCGCACTTTGAAATTCTTGCATGATGTCACAACCGATGTCAGGGCATGGTAGGCCTGGGAGGTCCACGGAGCTGTTCCTAGAAGAATCCAGTCATTAAAGAGAATGAAGATTTAGAAATCAACAGGGGGAGAAGGAGAGGGGCATGCAGAAGGAAACATATACATTAGTGCTCAAGTTGTCAGTTTATGGTTTGTTTTTTTTAAAGAATTACAGCCACATTTTTTGGGTACTTATAAAAAGATTTTTAATTGGCCCTAGCTGGCTTTTTCTCAGTGGTTAGAGTGTTAGCCTGGGAACTGAAGGGTCGTGAGTTCAATTCCAGTCACGAGCATGTACCTGGGTTGCAGGCTTGGTCCCCGGCCCCGGTCGGGGAGCATGCGGGAGGCAACCAATTGATGTCTCTCACATCAATGTTTCTCTTTCTGTCTCTCTCCCTCCCTTCCATTCTCTCTAAATCAATGGGGAAAAAATATCCTTGGGTGAGGATTAATAAAATATATATATATTTATACATATATATTTTTAAATTGGTTTTTAGAGAGAGGGGAAGGGAAGGGAGAGAGAAACATTAACGGGCTGCCTTCTGCACACCCCCTACTGGGGATCAAGGCTGCAGCTTGTGCTTGTGCCCTAACCAGGAATTGAACAGGCAACCTTTCAGTGCACAGAATGATGTTGAAACAAGTGAGCCACACCAGCCAGGCTGTAAACATCATTTTAAATGGCAACAAAATATCCCAATGAATATATAAACCATGGTTGATCTCAGACAATTCCCCTAAACTTGGGTGTTCAGTATGTTTCCATTTTTTTCTAATACTGTGATAAATAATATTGTGATGAACATCTTTAGTAACAATATAGATGGCGTGTGCTGGCCAAAGAGGCCCTCCGCCAGTGAGCTGAGAACTATCTTACCTAATGGAAGAGCAGGATTTTTAAATACATTTCCCATAGCATAACAAGCATTCCATCGGACTTTCATGGCAGCCTCAATCAGAACAGTAGAGATCAAGGCCTGGATAGACTCCTCAATGATTTCAGCAAATTGGGGTTTTTCTATATGAGATGGTTGTAGAAAATGAAGCAAATTTCCAAGGGCCCGGACTGCATTACTTTTAACCTAGAATAAACATAAAAGCATTAGAAGCCTGTTTTGCCAAAGAGATATTGCAGAAAGTATAATGTCGGCTTTAAAACACACAGGAGGCCCTAGATGTCTTGAAACCAGAGAGCTAATGAAAAATGCAGCCCGTAAAGGTGCGAGTTCTCAAAATTCCGCAAGGTCTGGCCTGGCTCACACTCTGAGCCTCCAGAAAGGTGAGATTCTCAGAGGTTCCTCACCCTGAAATTTCAGTGTCAGACTGGACTTCAGAGATATCCATCTCCCTCGAGTTAGAGATGGCAGGGAGCCCCGGGGCAAGAGGACACCGCCGGTTTGCAGCAGAGCTGGGGGGGACGCTGGGTTTCATAATCCCAGTCCATGCTTTTCTACTAGAGAAAAATAGTTTCTTCTTTGTAGCATACTAGAATCATCTGGGAGCTTTCTTTTTTAAAACCAATTCCCAGACCCTAACATCAGAAATTTGGATTGAGTTAGTCTGAGGTAGGGCTTCCCAGGTTTTCAGAACCAATACTTGATATGGGTCAGGTACTGTGTTAGGTATTTAAGATTAGATATCGCAGAGTCCAATGAGGTATATGTAACAACTTCCATGTTAGAAATGAGGAAACTGACCTTCACAGAAGTTAAATAATGCACCAAAGGTCACCCACCACTAAAGGGCAAGCCAGGATTTGAACCATGTCTGCCTGATCCTAAAGCCCAGGATTATGCTTTTTAAACTTATTAGAGTAACAGCGGATATTAAAAACCAAGGCTGCTCACCTTTGTGACTTGTCCATTCTACTTAAAGATTTTTTGAAAAAACTGGACTTATATTAAAACATGGACATATCATGGAGTAGCATTACAAATGGCACTGATGTTTTTTGTTTGCCACTGATGTTTTTTATGAGATAGGAGATAAGAAACAAACTGTACAAGTATGGGCCACTTTATACCCTGAACGCACACTAACTCTCCTTGAACAGGGATCTACCTGGTGGAATGAAGCTATAATACACTAAGTATCTACCTGACAAACACTAGATTTTGTTGTGCGTCTACCTTGTCTTTATCCTTGGAAGCTTCTATAGCTGATCGCAACATCTTCAAGAGCAGGAGGCCAGAGAACTCTTCCTGGAAACTGGGGTCTGGTGTTTCCCTGTTCCCCCCAAAGCAGGCAAAACATGTTAAAAGGTAAAACCCATTAAAATGTAGATACACTGAAATATATTCACTTAGTATAACTATAAAAACTTTAGGAAAACAGCTTAACAAATCTGTCCTGCTTATATGGAGAACTTATAGTTTATACCTTTTGACCTAGAAGGTCCACATTTAGGAATGTAACCAATAGAAATAACTTAAATGGAGATTTCATGCAAAAGCCTAACACAATGTAAATGTCCAATAATAGGGAAATGGTTAAATAATCATTGTACGGTGATGACTGCAATAAGTAATGATCTATAAAAAGTCAGCAGAAATCAGGAGAATGCTTATATATGTTATATGTTAAAGTTAAGCGACAAAAAGCAGGACACTTTAAATTTGTATATGATTGTATGAGAAACGAGTTGCCTCTGGGGAAGGATACTAGGAGATTAAGATAAGAGAAAGGCTTCACACTGACTATCCCTTTGTACTGTTTGATATTTTCTAACCTGTGAATATATTACTTAAAAACATGCAAATATGGCCCTAGCCAGTTTGGCTCAGTGGATAGAGCGTCGGCCTGCGGACTGAAGGGTCCCAGGTTTGATTCCGGTCAAGGGCATGTATATTGGTTGCGGGCACATCCCCAGTAGGAGGGTGTGCAGGAGGCAGCTGATTGATGTTTCCCTCTCATTGATGTTTCTAACTTTCTATTCTTCTCCCTCTCTCTCTGTAAAAAGATCAATAAAATGTTTTAAAAAAAACAAAAACATGCAAATGTGATTTTTAAAAAGTAGGGCAACCATTACAGAGGTTTTGGATTTCCACTTCTGTGTTTCCACATTTTCTATAATGTTGGATATATTTCTTACCAGCATATAGTATTTTTATACATATATCAGAGGCCTGGTGCACGGATTTGTGCACCGGTGGGGTCCCTTGGTCTGGCCTGCACCCTTTCACAATCTGGGACCCCTCAGGGGATGTCAGACTTTGGGTTTCGGCCCAATCCCTGCAGGTCAGGCCAAGGGACCCCACTGATGCACTGGGACTCTAGTATGCATATAAGATCTTTGGTTAATCTTTTCCCACTCTTCCCCCTCCCCCTTCCCCTCTGAGACTCATCAGTCTGTTCCATGTTTCCATGCCTGTGCGTTGAGCGTCTGCCCCTTGGTGGTCAGTGCGTGTCATAGCTACTGGTCAAACGTCCAATGGTCCATGGTTGCTTAGGCTTTTATATATATAGATATTAAGCTTACTAATCTCATTACTTCAAGGAATATAAAACAAACAAGCCAGGAAGACTGACTACATAATATGGGTAAATTGTTGTTAATTCCTTTATAGTAGGGACCTCAGCCTCAGAAGTTACACAGGGGAAATGAGCTGAGTCACCTACATGTTGACAATCAGAGTGTCTGTCAGGTTGCCCAGGGACCAGGCTGCTTTGGCCCGGACATTCAGAGACTTGTCTTGAAGTGACATCAATATTGCATTTGCTGTGTCTGCAACAAATATGACATCCTATAAGATAAACAAAACAAAATGATGTAGTTACTTTAGAAGTTCACACTGCTACCTTGGAAATTCTCAGTTTATTTTCAGATAAAGTAATAAACCTTTACCACAAATTTCTATTTGGAAATCAAAATTCATTTACTTCATCCATTTACTATTCTTTGTATATATTACAATGTGGACACCCATTAAAATCCCAGGGGAAGGTCTCCCATGATTTTGGTATGTGCCACACACACCTGAGAAGCCTAAGCACAAATATCTTATTCCCTGGCCTGCGAGAGTTACCTATGAATTCTGTACTTGGATAGATCTCCACCTTGAGAAATGATGTTGCCAATGAATGCATTTCCAAAACACATCCTATTTACTTAGTGAGATGTCACAAGTAAGAGAAATTTATCTCCTTCTTAGTAAAAACTCTATCAGCCTTCTAAATTATTACTACCACATGGTAATGCCCCATCTCATGTTTTTCAATTATTCATTAGACATTTACTGGGCATCTAGGGTCCTGGGCAGTGTGCTAAGTAATTAAAAATAAATGAACTATAGGTATTCCCAGATTTTAGTGGCAAGTAAGGAAACCAGATTACAAAGCAGTTTAACCTCCTTTACTGTCCAACTTAAGAGCTCTACATCCACCAACAAAAAAGGACTGACATGGACTATAAAAGAGGCGCTGAAGAGCTGCACAGGCTCATCTGACCTGTCTGAGACAGGGAAAAAGCACGTAGACTCCGAGGGCCCGTGAGGCTGCAGCTTTCACTAAACGGTTCTTGCTGTCGTTCAGCCCAAGCAGCACTGTGATGCACAGGATCTGCCAGTCACTCTGCAGTGAGAAAGGTTGGCAAAGGAAAGCGAGAATGAAATACAATGAGTGGGTCTTTGACAAGTGACTGTGGTATGTCATGTCTGTGTCTGAGTTCGCATTCAGGAGTTAAACACAACTGAGACCTTGAGGCTACCTTGGTAGAGAGCAAAGGTTCGCTTCAGATCCAGTTAATGTCTGAGCACCGACTGGGTGCAGGGCACACACAGCATCTGTGCTCATTTAACCTGTACAGCTGTGTGAATTAGGTCATTTTATTCTCCTACTTCATTAAAGCTGCCTTCTTTATAAAGCTAATTTAGCCCTAGCCAGTTTGGCTCAGTGGACAGAGCGTTGGCCTGTGGACTTAAGGGTCCTGAGTTCGATTTTGGTCAAGGGCACATATTTGGGTTGTGGGCTCGATCCCCAATGAGGGGCATGCAGGAGGCAGCTGACCAATGATTCTCTCTCATCATTGATGTTTCTCTCTCTCTCCCTCTCCCTTCCTCTCTGAAATCAATAAAAAAAAATATTTTTTCAAAAGCTAATTTATATAAGTGAAAACAGATGCAAATGCCATTGAGAACTAGAGGAAAGGAGTGGTTTGAATACCATATGGATTGGGCACCAGCTAAGTATTTTCACATACTTCTTGTTGTTACTCACATAATTCCCATTTTAGGTAGAGATGATAAAGGCAGTTTTAGAGAAGTTAAGATAATCAAAGAGCCAGAAAATGGAAAGGCTAGAATTTAAACCCAGGTCTTTCTAACTTCTGGATCTGAAATCTCTGCATGGGGAGGAAAAACTTTCCCGAGACATTAAGGTTTTAAGTTTTCCCATTGCCCTCACCCCACACTCAAGTAGAATAAGCACGTTTCCTCAGAGATGATGTGGAAAACTGGTTCAAAATGAGAAAGAATCAAAATCAAACTGGAGCTGTGATGGCGCCACTGAAGGCTGGGAACCCACTCCTGACGTTACCCGCAGGCTGCTGAAGGCTTCTGGCAGGATGGACGACAGGGCGTCGCAGGCGCTGGCCTGCAGAGTCGGGTGCTCTGCGTTCTGCAGGGCTCTGGGTAAAGGGCCGCTCAGCATCATAGTCCAGAAGAGCACCACCTGGAACAGGGCAGTTACAACCAGATTCCTTATGGGCACAGAGATCAGGGTCCCGGAGTGGCCTCTGGGCCGTGAGCCAGAGGCAGAGTTGGGGATGAGTCCTTCAGCCATGGCTTCCTGTCTCTGCAACCTTGGGCGAGTCACTAAACCTAAGCTCTGGTTCCTCCTCAGTGAAGCAGGGCAAAGACATCTACCTGGCAGAGTTTGTGTGATAAGAAAATGATACTGTGTTCCTAGCCGGTTTGGCTCAGTGGATAGAGCATCGGCCTGTGGACTAAAGGGTCCCGGGTTCGATTCTGGTCAAGGGCACGTCCCCGGGTTGCAGGCTTGATCCCCAGTAGGGAGCGTGCAGGAGGCAGCCCATCACTGAGTCTCTCTCATCATTGATGTTTCTATTTCTCTCTCCCTCTCCCTTCCTCTCTGAAGTCAATAAAAATATTTTTTTTTCAAAAGAAAAGAAAATATGATACCATGTACAAAGTTCCTAGCATACTACTCGGTGCATGGTGGACTCTGAAATTGAGCAGAAGGCTCT